CCCCTGACTGTCCCTGTTAATCATTACTCCGATCCCGAAGGCCATCGTAATAGGATCGAAATCCTATGATGTTATCCCATGCTATTGTATCCAGAGCTTAGGCTTGCTTTGAACACTCTAATTTCTTCAATGTAACAGCGCCGGAGGCACGATCCGGCCAATTAAGACCAGGAGCGCATCGCCGGCAGAAGGGACGAGACGACCGGTGCACACCTGAGGCGGGCCGGTTAACCCAACCCAAAATCCAACTATGAGCTTTTTAATTGCAACAACTTAAATATACGCTATTGGAGCTGGAATTACCGCGGCTGCTGGTACCAGACTTGCCCTCCAATGGATCCTTGTTAAGGGATTTAGATTGTACTCATTCCAATTACCATACTCAAAGAGCCCGGTATTGTTATTTATTGTCACTACCTCTCCGTGTCAGGATTGGGTAATTTGCGCGCCTGCTGCCTTCCTTGGATGTGGTAGCCGTTTCTTAGGCTCCCTCTCCAGAATCGAACCCTAATTCTCAATCACCCGTCACCACCATAGTAGGCCACTATCCTACCATCGAAAGTTGATAGGGCAGAAATTTGAATGATGCGTCGTAGGCACAAAGGTCGTGCAATTCGTCGAGTTATCATGAATCATCAGAGCAACGGGCATAGCCCGCGTCGACCTTTTATCTAATAAATGCGTCCCTTCTGGAAGTCGGGGTTTGTTGCACGTATTAGCTCTAGAATTACTGTGGTTATCTGAGTAGCAAATACCATCAAACAAACTATAACTGATTTAATGAGCCATTCGCAGTTTCACAGTCTGAATTAGTTCATACTTACACATGTATGGCTTAATCTTTGAGACAAGCATATGACTACTGGCAGGATCAACCAGGTAGCATTCCTTTTTTATGAGGCCGGCACTACATAAGCCCGACCGACAGAGCCGGCACGGTCAGAGGCAGGCGCGGCGATAGCCCACAACGAGCGACGAACGCTTGGCGGAGAAATGGAGGTCGAAGACCCCGTGTACCTGCACAAGGCTCCAAATCCGAGAGCATGAGCATAACTGCCAGCGGGCCATGCCACCGACACGGCAATGTGAGAGGACAGCATGGAACACGGGAGATACTTTGGGGTTCCCCCAGCGCCACGAGGTGGTGAGGCGAATATAGGCACACGATACGGACCGAATTCCTTTTCTTTAGGTAGGCAACACAGGAACCCACGCGAGGCAGAAGGCAAGATTTTGCCCCAAAGCACAAATGAAGAGAAATGCACCAGAGGAGTTCGCTGCACAGACAGGGATCCATCCAACTCGCACAAACCAAACACAACTCACGCGCCACGATGTACACTACGCACCAGCCGCCCAAAATGAATCACACCCCGAAGGACTAAGAAGCCCGAGGAACGTGTGAGAACATTTAGAGAAGCCGAGCAAGCACCGGTTACCGCGACTGCAAGTAACAAAGGCAACATGCAAAACTTCCGAGGGACATACTTTTCGCAAGGAGCTTCCACTTGGAAAGCATAGGCAGCTCGTTCGCAAGTCAAAGCCAACAAAATGGCAATTACCCAACGGACATGCTTTTCGCAAGGCAGCTTCCACTGGGGAAGCGCAGGCAACTAGCATATAGGCAAGTCAAAGCCAACCGGATGGCTACCAACCGAGGGACATAAATTTTCGCAAGGAGCTTCCACTAGGAGAGCGCAGGCAACTGGTAGGCAAGTCAAAGCCAACCGAATGGCAATTAACCGAGGGACATAACTTTTTGCAAGGACCTTTTCCACTAGGGAAAGCACAGGCAACCTGTAGGAATCCCGCGGATGATGAAGTGGAATGCACCAGGGGAGTTCGCTGCACAGGCAGGGATCCGTCCAACTCGCACAAACCAAACACAACTCACGCGCCACGAGGTACACTACGCACCAGTCGCCCGAAACAAAACACACCCCACAGGACTAAGAAGCCCGACGAACGTTAGAAAACATTTAGAGAAGCCGAGCAAGCACCGGTTAGCGCGACTGCAAATAACAAAAGGCAACAAGCAACTTTCAGGGGACATAACTTTCGCGACAACCTTCCACTGGGAAAGCGCAGGCAGCTCGTTTGTAAGTCAAAGCCAACAAAATGGCAATTACCAAAGGGACACGCTTTCCGCAAGGCACCTTCTGCTAGGGAAGCGCAGGCAACTCGAAGGCGAGTCGAAGACAACCTAAAGGGCATTTACCCGAGGGACGTGGAGGAATGCACCAGCGGAGTTCGCTGCACAGGCAGGGATCCGTCCAACTCGCACAAACCAAACACAACTCACGCGCCACGACGTACACTATGCACCAGCCGCCCAAAACAAATCACCCCCTAAAGGACTAAGAAGCCCGACGAACGTGCGAAAATATTTAGAGAAGCCAAGCAAGCACTGGTTAGCGCGAATGCAAATAAAAAACGCAACAGGCAACTTTCGAGGGACATACTTCTCGCAACAAGCTTCCACTAGGAAAGCACAGGCAACTCGTTCGCACGTCAAAGCCAACCAAATGGCAATTTAACCGAGGGTCATGCATTTCGCAAGGCAACTTGTACAATTACCCGAGGGACATGGCATGCTTGCCAAGGTTGTGGCATGATATGCTGTTGGCCAAGGCTAGGGCATGCCATGCTGCTGGACAAGGCCGTGGCAAGGCATGCTGATGGCCAAGGCCGTGGCATGGCATGCCATGATGCTGGACAAGGTCGTGGCAAGGCATGCAGCTGACCAAGGCATTGGCATGGCATGCTGCTGCCCAAGGCTTTGGCTTGCCATGCTGCTGGCAAAGGCTTTGGCATGGCATGTTGCTGGTCAAGGCCGTCGCATGGCATGGCATGCTACTGGCCAAGGACTAGGCATGGCATGCTGCTGGACAAGGACTAGGCATGGCATGCTGCTGGACAAGGCCGTGGCATGGCGTGCTATTGGCCAAGGCCATGGCATGACATGTTAGCTAAGGTCAGGCATGACATGCTGTTGGCCAAGGCTTTGGCATGGTATGTTGCTGGCCAAGGCCGTGGCATGGCATGCTGCTGTCCAAGGCTTTGGCAAGGCATGTTGCTGGCCAAGGCCGTGGCATGGCATGCTGCTGGCCAAGGCCATGGCATGACTTGCTGGCCAAGGCCGTGGCATGGCATGGCATGCTGCTGGCCAAGGACGAGGCATGGCATGCTGCTGGCCAAGGCCGTGGCATGACATGCTTGCCAAGGCTGGGGCATGGCACGTTGCTGGTCAAGGCTGTGGCATGGCATGCTGCTGGCCAAGGCCGTGGCATGACATGCTTGCCAAGGCTGGGGCATGGCATGTTGCTGGGCAAGGCTGTGGCATGGCATGCTGCTGGCCAAGGCCGTGGCATGACATGCAGGCCAAGGCCGGGGCATGGCATGCTGCTGGCCAAGGCCGTGGCATGGCATGCTGCT